GCAGATGCTGATGGAAAATCAAACATATGGCACCAAAGGCTCAGCCATATGAGCGAGAAAGGAATGAAGATACTTCTGTCAAAAGGGAAGCTGCAGGATCTAAAGAATATAGATGTCGGACTATGCGAGGATTGCATCTTTGGAAAACAAAAGAAAGTCAGTTTTACAAAGATTGGCAAGACTCCAAAGGCAGAAAGGTTAGAATTGGTTCATACTGATGTATGGGGACTATCCCCTGTTCCATCTCTTGCAGGCTCACTATATTATGTCACCTTCATCGATGATTCAACAAGGAAGGTATGGGTTTATTTTATAAAGAAGAAATCAGAAGTCTTCGATACCTTCAGAAAATGGAAGGCCATGGTGGAAAATGAGACTGGTTTGAAAGTCAAGCGGTTGAGGTCTGACAATAGAGGAGAGTACAGAGACAATAGATTCAGAGATTTCTACGCAAACAATGGGATCAAGATGGAGACAACAGTTCCCATAACACCGCAACAGAATGGAGTAGCAGAGCTCATGAACAGAACTCTGAATGAACGTGCCAGAAGCATTAGAATACATGTCGGATTGCCCAAATTTCTATGGGGTGAAGCTATCAACACTGCAGCTTACCTGATCAACCGTGGGCCCTCAGTTCCTTTGGATGGCGGAATACCAGAGGAAGCTTGGAGCAAGAAAGAAATAAACCTTTCACACTTAAGAGTGTTTGGTTGTATTTCTTATGTACACATAAACTCTGTTGAAAGAAGTAAACTTGATGCCAAGTCCAACAAATGTGTCTTTGTTGGTTACGGTGGTGATGAGTTCGGTTACCAGTTTTGGGACTACGAAAATCGGAAGATCATCATAAGCAGAGACATCATTTTCAATGAGAATGTGATGTACAAAGACAAGTCAACCACAGAATCAAGTAATACCGAGGCTGAAACAAAGGAATTTGCTGAGTTCGAGGAGATTTCTGGAAATGATGTTCAGATCAGTCCAGAAGCAGTTCAAGAATAACCAGGCACACCAGAACTGAGACGCTCCTCCAGAATTCCTAAACCAACCCAACGGTATTCGCCTTCTTTGCACTACTTGTTGCTGACTGACAATGGTGAACCAGAGTGCTATGATGAAGCAATGCAAGTGAAGGATTCAGTCAAGTGGGAGTCTTCCATGAAAGATGAGATGGACTCGCTTATGTCAAATCAGACATGGGAATTAATTGAGTTACCACCAGGCAAGAAAGCGCTCCACAACAAGTGGATTTACAGGATCAAAGAAGAGCATGATGGGAGCAAACGCTTCAAAGCAAGATTGGTAGTCAAAGGTTTTCAGCAAAAAGAAGGTATTGACTACAATGAAATTTTCTCTCCAGTCGTAAAACTGTCTACAATCAGACTGGTGTTGAAAATTGTAGCTGCATAGAATTTACATCTTGAGCAATTAGATGTAAAGACAGCTTTCCTTCATGGTGATTTGGAGGAAGATATCTATATGAGGCAGCCAGAAGGCTTCATAGAGGCAGGCAAGAAAAACCTGGTATGCAAGTTGAAGAAGAGCTTGTATGGTTTAAAACAAGCTCCTAGACAGTGGTACAAGAAGTTCGATAGTTTCATGAGTAACAGTGGTTTTACCATATGCCAAGCAGATCATTGTTGCTACATCAAGAGGTTCTACAATAGTTTCATTATTTTATTGTTGTACGTTGATGACATGCTCGTTGCAGGCTCAAACATGCAAGAGATCATAAACTTGAAGCAAAAATTGTCGAAGCAGTTTGCTATGAAGGATCTGGGCGCTGCAAAGCAGATTCTTGGGACGAGGATCAAGAGAGACACAAAGTCGGGGACTTTGATGTTATCACAGGCTGAGTACATCAATAAAGTACTCTCCAGGTTCAACATGCAAGATGCTAAACCAGTAAGTACACCTTTAGGTGTTCATTTCAGACTCTCCAAAGACCAATCACCAAAGACGGAGGAAGAACGTGCACACATGGTGAAGGTGCCGTATGCCTCAGCAATTGGAAGTCTGATGTATGCCATGGTTTGTACCAGACCAGATATTGCTCATGCAGTGGGAGCTGTTAGCAGGTACATGAATAATCCGGGCAAGGTACACTGGGAAGCACTCAAATGGATCCTCAGATATCTTCGGGGTACCACAAACAAAGCACTTTGTTTCAAAGGTGGAGATATGATACTGACAGGCTATGTAGATGCTGACTTAGCCGGAAATGTCGACATCAGAAGGAGCACTACAGGGTATGTCTATACTCTAGGAGGAACTGCAGTGAGTTGGGTTTCTCAACTACAGAAGATAGTTGCTCTCTCCACAACTGAAGCAGAATATGTCGCTGTTACGGAAGCCAGCAAGGAGATGGTTTGGCTCCAAAGTTTCTTGGAAGAGTTAGGCAAGAAACAAGAAAACAATATCTTGTATTGCGACAGTCAAAGTGCTATCCATCTAGCAAAGAATCCGTCTTTTCATTCCAGGACAAAGCACATACAATTGAGATATCATTTTATCCGGTCTCTTCTGGAAGATGGGATTTTGAAACTTGAAAAGATTAGTGGAGCTCAAAATCCGGCAGACATGTTGACAAAGACGGTGACTACGGACAAACTGAAGTTGTGTTCAGCTTCAGTTGGCATGCTAGAATAACAAGACCAGACATGCTGCTGCATTGATCGAGGTGTAAAGACATATTAAAATCAGTCTTCAAGTGGGAGATTGTTAAAAGTTTCAAAGTTTGGCAAAATTTTGGTAGATGTTTGTTGAAAATAGGAATGGGTAAATTCACTTTAGTCATTGCACTTTAGGGTATTTTCAAAGATTAGTCCCTAAGTTTCTACTATAAATACCCTTACCCATTTAGCTTCAAAATCATCCCAAAACATTTCTTTCTTCCTATACTAGAGAGCTTTCTTGTGAGTAGTGAGTGTTTTGTAAACACCTGTAAATTTTCTCTCTTAGTAAAAGATCTGCAGCAGCCCGGAGACGTAAGCACAATTGGCTGAACTCCGTTATCAATTTTCGGGTATTATTTTTCCGCTTTTATTTCGCATTCTCACTAATCTGGTTATAAGAAAATTACTTGTACTCGGTTTATTTTCCTAACACACACGGCTTCTTTTTCCCATGCAATTTCAGGAACAGCCAGCATTGTCGAAGCAGATATGTCATCAACTTGACATGATTAGACAAAATAATACTTTACATTATTAAACCGAACATATATAAACCCACGAAAGTACTTACTCCTTGAATAAAATCAATGTAGTGAAGAGTCCCATTCTTAAACTGAGTTCCGCCACCGGGAAAGGTGAGGTATTCGCCCGTTACTTTAACCCAATTCTGATGCCCCTTGACCTCTGCAAGCTTGGTGTGGGGGACATTGTAGTACCATATCTGCACCAAGCATCAAAAGAATAAATTTCAACCGAAGTAAATACACATAACACATACAATCGTCCAAGCTTTCGACAGGTGTTTACTTTATCCCGGCTTTTAGGCCGTTTTATTGAGAGCTTGTATCCTTCAGGTAGAGGGACAAGACATGTAGGAGCTTCATCCGGACAGTGCCTCTCTCGATGTTCATAGTGCTTTGTGCTTGGAAGCTTTCTGATAACTTGCCAATTGTCTAGGCACGGTATGTAGTCAGGCCCGGTAGTCGACTTACAGACTTTCCACTGGTGACCATTATTTTCACTGGATGTTGAAGATTGCTGTGATTTCTTCTCATCCTGTGATTCTTCTGCTTGAGTCGACCAAGCTCCGATCTGAGTGGTAGACTCGGTCAAAATTTCCAACTGAGAAGCAGCAGGGAGAACCTCATTTGAGGTTTGATTGTTTTCCTCGCTTTCTGCATTGTTCTCGACAGCACTTTGTTCTGAGTTCTCGTCTTCATTTTTTTCTTTATTTGAAGTTTGATTGTTTTTCTCGCTCGCTTGTTCATCATAGTTTTTACCACCCTCAGCCGACTCAGATCTGTTTTCACCTGAGCTATCCTCCGATTCTGCCTCGACATTGTTATTCATTCCAACAGCTTCATTCTCTGCTTGTCCGGTTTCTGAATTCGACTCTCCCTCTGTTGAATTCATTTCCCCATTTTTACCATTTCCATTCCCATCATCTCCATACACCCTTTGTTGTTCACTTTCTGTCTCGGTCGTCTCATAAGAACTCTTGTTCCCATGATCTTAAAATGCAGCATGAGTCCTTGAAAGAAGGCAAATAGAGCAATGGAGCAAGAGATGTCTCAAGAAGAAACGGGAAGAAGATGAGCAATATTAGGGGTTGGGAAAAATATATTAAAAAATGGGTAAATTGAAATGTTTTACCTAAGTACATTTGAATTTACAAAAAGACCCATAATCTATATATTGTTTAAAGTGGAGGTATTAAAATAAAAATTAAACTATTTTATTAACGAGTCAGGTCATCAAATTAGCGGCATCCAACGTCTAAGTGATCAAAATTTAATAAAACAATAATATATGTGGCCAATACTTGTGTTTTTTGAAAGGAAATTTACCAAAACTTAATCCACGTACTATATATATATGGAAATGATGTAATATTAATTTTATATATTTACCATGCCAAGTCAGAAAACCGTTAAAGGTTTAACGGCTGTTAACCTTCAATGACCGCATCTTAATTAAAACAAAACAAAAGTGATCAAATCTTATGTTTATTATGAAACTTAAATAAAAGTGACTATTTCTGTAGTTTACCCTGTTTCTCTTACTATTGCTTTTCTCCACCAGAATTTGATTTCGAGTAGCTGATTGGCTATGGAAAATTGAACCATTGGACTAAATTAATGCCACGTCATTACATTATCCAAAAGTTATCAAAACTTCAACAACAACAAAAATGTCCATGACATGGCGCAATATTCCAACCCCAATGCATGCAAATATTTTCGAAAATCAATAAAAGAAATATGTGGATGAAAGGACGTTGTTGCAAAGATTTTTTACTACTGGGGTCTTTTGAATCACAAATTCTCTTAACATCAATTCTCCACATTTACCCCATCAATCCATTCTCTCTGAAGAAAACAAAAAAGTTCACAGAGAAGACAATGGTGGGCTTTGAACGATGAAGAAGAGAAAGTGTAGGTTATGCTTGTTCCATGGCCATCCATTCTGCCTACCATGCTTCTTCCATTTCACCTTCAGTTCCATTGAAAAGCTTTGGTGTCAAGAACAGAAAGTTCAAGCCTTTTCGAGTACAGTTTTCTTCCATTAGTAACAATGCCGGAGCCTCCTACAATTCCCTTGTTTCTGAGGTGTTCTTTCCTCTGAGTTAATGTATACAGGGACAGAGAATTTTCTTTTAGATATTCCGAACTTAGAAATTTATATTAGAAATTTAGGTGCCAAATTAAATTATCGTACATAAACTATATGTTGATTTGAAATATCCAGGAGGATTCAGTCCATCACTGAATGTATATTTTGGAATTGATGGTTTAGACTATGACGTTTGGTTTGTTCTTAGCCTGCAATTTGCTTGTGAAAATGGCATTTTTGGTTGTATTTCTAAAATTTGCATAATTTTGTTCGTGCACCTTTGGCCATCATCTGTTCAATCATTTTGGTTTGCTGGGTTTTGCTTACACTGTTGTTTGTGGGAAAAAATCAAAATCTAAAATCTGGGTTGTGTGTTTGATAAATTCATTGAATGTGTTCAAGAAGATGTGAAATACATGCAAATTTTTGTTGAAGGTCCCTTTTACCAAATGGATATCAACATTGACATTCTTAGTTTCCAGGCTGTAAGACTCTTGGTTCCTCCTGCTATTTTCGAGGCTTCGAAACTCGAAGTTGTCTTCATGGGAAAGGGGCTAAAGAGTTATTCTGCAATAATCCCAAGAACCTACATCCTCTCCCATTGTGACTTCACTGCTAACTTAACGTTGACCATCTCGAATGTCATCAATCTCGATCAGGTTCGGATTCCATTAGTTTCGATCTCGGTATGCAGTTACCATGTTCTGAATGTAGGAGAACTTTGATTTGGAGCTTTAACACATTGCATGATTTCCAATGGCAGTTGAAAGGGTGGTACAACAACGATGATGTGGTTGCCGAGTGGAAGAAAGTGAAAGAAACCATGTTTCTGAACGTACATTGTTTTGTATGCGGTCCGAATCTCGCGCTCGACCTCGCTGCTGAGTTTCGATACCATATCTTCTCCAAGGAGTTACCTTTGGTAAGTTTTCCTCTTCAGCTTTGATGTTTTCGACTTTGACACCATGTATTCTTCGTCTCGACTAGGCTTTTCTCCATCTAGGCTCTAGCCATTCTAGTAGTGGTACATGGTAATGCTTGCTGAACTCTTGCTGCAGGTACTTAAAGCTGTGCTTCATGGAGATTCAGTCCTTTTTTCCGAACACCCTGAGCTAATGGATGCTTTAGTTTCTGTCTACTTCCATTCTAGTTTTCCGAAGTATAATCGAATCGAATGTTGGGGACCGCTTAAGGAGGCTGCAGAGGTAAATATATCAAACCCTTGTTCATAATTTGTCACGGATTACCGATGCCGGTTTTCGGATTCGAATAACCGAACCGAGTGCTGATCAGGGAAGACATAGAGATCAAGTTCAGGGTATGTTAACTTCAGATAAAGTTCATCTCCGCCAGCAAAATGGGGAAGGATTCCAAAATCCATCTTTCAAGCATTGTTTGCCTTTCTTCTTTGATTTGTGGATAACAAAACAATAAAAGGGGAAAAAATGGTTCAATTTCAGTCCGTTACATGAAAGAAGGGTGTTGTTTTCTCCTTATATTCTTACTGATGCATTTGCTGAAAATTGTAAAACGCAGAATTCTTTTGCAACTGAGGCCATTTGTTCATTCATTAAGCAATGGCTATTTTCTTTGTTGCTTCGTAAATCAACATTAAAGCTATCATTACACTCTTGTTATAAGCTTCTAATATCTGATTTATTTTCCATTCGGTAGCTGGACAGTTGTACATGCTTTACATGCATAAGTAGGAATTGAATTGTGATGGATTGAGTCGGGTCAAGTTTTTAGTTCATCCGAAAATTAAATTCCTTCACTCACACATGATTTAATTTTTGAGGTCAAAACCCACACCCGATATATATATAAACAATTGAGTATTTCGATACCAAAAGAAAATATTATTCTTATAGGATATATATATATATATATATATATACACGATCAAATTTTCACTAAATCTGATTTAATCTGGTTATATCATTTAAAAAAAATAAATCCAATTTAAATTTAAATTTTCAAAATAAAAAATCAACTCGATCGAGGTGTTGCCCCTTTGGCATTTATGCTCGAAAAGGAAATATATTGAATTTTAAGATTTATCATACTGATATTATAATTTGTAATTGAGTTTTGTTAGTGAAATTCTTAAGCTACTTAAAGTTATAATATATAGAAATTTCTTAAAATTTAGTGTACGAAAAATGACTAATAAATTTATTATTATTATTATTATTATTATTAATTATTATTATTATTATTATTATTATTATTATTATTATTATTATTATTATTATAGTTTTAATTGTATGCCTATATTGATAAGATATATTATATTTCCTATGAAAGAATTATACATATTAATTATTATAATTATGTTTTTAACTGTAAGAGTATTATGAAAAGTACATTATATTCTCTCTCAGAGAATGTAGATTTGAACCTTAACCATATATCATCAGAAAAAATAAAAATAAATTTCAAACATAAATTATAAAATACTTCCTTATCACTGTACATTTTTAATTAAATTAGCTAATTAATTAATCAATTATTTAACTAAGAACATGGTTGAGTGGTTATTTTAATTACTTAAATTTATTAAAATTTTACTAAATTGAATTCTTTGTATATTATTATTAGGATAAAGTACATGAATAGTCCCTAAACTTTTAGGGTGTTTGCATTTTGGTCACCCAACTTTTAAAACTTACAATACAGTAACCAAACTTTTAGTTCATTTTCAGTAAGGTCTCTAACCTTACCTCTCGTTAGTTTTATCGGACGTGGCATGTTAACTGCCATTAGCCCTCTTCTTCTTCTTCTTTTAGCACAAACAAAACAAAAAATCCTCCATCTACAAGCACCTTCATTACTATGATGTATGTGACCTTGTCGGGTTCAAATCCACCAACCTTTTTGAAAACATGCATTCCTCAATTTGCAAATCAATTCTTGCTTCTCCTAACGCTGCTTTGAAGCACTGTTCAAACCATTTCTGGGCAACTTTCTCCCTTCAAAACCATGTAACCCTATGAGAAAAAATGTTTCTTTTTTTACAAATAAATAGTTGAACTATTAAAAAAATTCTTCTAATTCCCTTCATGTTCAAGAACTCAAAGTTTAATTGTATGTCTGGCGAGTAATATGGCGCTTCTAGGTCCTTTACAAGTCATATCCTTATAAGTTCACATCATAGTTCATTGGTGTTCCCTTCTCGTTATTATTCAACGATGTTTAGAAACCGAAAAGGACTTGTAATGGTAGATAATGGGGCAATTTGACATTGAGAGTTTTCATCAAGGAAGATTGAAGGAGAAAGCGGAAGCATTAAAGCTGTAATTTCCTAATCCACTTCGACCCGAAGATCAATAGATTATTATGCTACAAGGTACCACCGAGGTGGTTAACCCAAAAAAAATTAAAAAAAAATTAAAACATCCATTGGAAATCATCCAAAGTAAATAAAAGTATAATGTCAGAGTATAAAAATATGGGAGCCCCAAAATATACATCAAACCATTTTAAAAGAGTGATTCAAATACAATTCGATACAAGAGAGTCCATTCACAGTACATGTCCCCTAAAAATATACTCAAGATATACTCAAAAGATGATGTCGGTCTGGAATGTGGACTCTGCAATAAGCTCCTCAAACTCTCTTCCTAAGAACCTGCGCATGGAAACAAATTCTGAACGTTGAGCGCACAAGCTCAGTGCCACACTAATAATCAAACTATACTATATGGATCCATTATATGATCATATTTTCTAACATAAATATTTGCATACAAGAACGTAAATCTAGACATACATACAAAGGTGGGCATCATGGTGTGGTCGGAAGTCTTCGCTACATCTCCAAAACACACACCCCTCTAACCTACCTAGGGTGAGATATGAAATTTCTACATCAGAAAAGTTCACCCAACTGCCTTACTCCATACGAGTACTTGGGCATCTACGTCCGGTCAAAAAATAAGTGTCTTGTGCACTAATTAAGAATTGTCCAGACATTCTATCATGCAATCTACTAGAGTAACTCGAGTGTCTTGACTATTTCCCGAGCACTATACAAGGCTAGTTTTATGAGTTCCTAATTATCTCGTTTCTAGATGTAATTATAGTAATTAACGTTGTTCTCACTTGAAGTCTTGTTTATGAAATTTAGATGGTCTTTGATCCCTTAACCAAAAATACTTGAGATGTGATGAGTTTCTTACCCAAATCATGACGAGGGTATCGATACTGGCCTTATAGCATCGATATCGGTCTCTTGGTTATCAATACTAATTTCTAACTATTGATATAAAAAATAACTTCGATGTTTGAAAGTTTTCTTAGTATCGATACCCTTATCTAGGGTAACAATTAGGGCTGTAAATGAGACGAGACAGATCGTGAGCTACTCGAGATCGACTTGGTTAAGGCTCGATAAATACTCGGATCAAATGGACTCGACTCGAACTTGAGCTCGACTCGAATTCTTAATGAGCCGGAACGAGCTACTTGATACTCGACTCAAAAAGCTCGTGAGCAGCTCAAAAATATAATATATTAAGATTTTATTTTTTTAAAAAATAAATTATTAATAATATTAATATTTATGTGTTGATTTTTTTTTAAAAATACAATAAGGCTTTCATGTATTTAAGGTTCATGTTCGAGTTTGAGTTTGAGAATTCAATCTTGTTAAGTTTAAGATTTTTTTTCATTTCGAGCCTTTTCGAGCTACTCACGAGCTTCAGTTCAGGATTTTGAGTTCGAGTCGAGCTTAAATTTTATAAGCTCACGAGTTTTCGAGTCGAGTCGAGCTCCATTTCAGAGTTTTCAAGTCGAGCTCAGCAATACTCGAGTTCGACTCGGCTCATTTACACCCCTAGTAACAATACCTTAATTATAGTATCGATAATCCCTTAAGTATCAGTACCAAAATAGGCTACTGGAATCCTAAAACGATATTGATACTACCCTGTAATTATTGAAACCTGACCCGTAGTATTGATGCTCTGTGGATGAGTATCGATACTTACCCTTCCAAAACTATCTTATTTTAAGCTAACCGATGAACATTATCAGTACTGTTCTTTCAATACCAATACTCGAACCCATAAAGGCATTGTTTTGGGCACGAAAAAGCAATCCAATCCTACTTATTTACCACCTTAAGGTCATTAGTTGATGCTTAAGTCTTATGTATTAGTATAGTTCCAAAGAGTCATATTTTCATGCTTAAGAACACTTTCAACTAGAATCTACCATGAACATGTTCAATATTTCATAAACTTGTGCTAGCCAACAAAATGCACTTAATGACCCGTAAATGGTATAAAAAGGTTATAAAGGTGTTATCTTAATATCCAAGCTGAAGAAAACCCTCTCCAATCACCTAAGAGCCAACTTCTCTTTTCCCTTGGCTTTGAAACCTTCTCCAATTTCCCAATAATTTGTTTATGATACTAAAATGAGTCTAAGAACACTTTCCCAAACTCAAATCTACCAAAAACGAGCTACAAATCTCTAGTTTTGTAATCCCCTATTTATGACTAATGTGACCAAACTTTGAGATTGAGAGTTCAAATGAAAATTTGAGTGAGGAGATTATGATTCTTACCTTAGAAATTCCAAATGAGCTAGGAGGATTGTCAAGTTTCTACCTTTGATAGTTTTCTTGAAGGAAGAAAGATGAAGAAGAAGAAGAAAAGGATTTGGTAAAGGACAAAAGGATTATTAAAATGAGGGAAATTGGGAATAGGTAAGGCAAATTACATCATCATCATTAAAAGAAATCAACCTTTTTTTAATGATAGTATAATTGCTCTTTTAATCATTCCTCTTTCATACAAATGCTAAAATACACATTCATGCAACTAGTTGGGTCTAAATCAAGCCCAATTTCATTCTTGACTTGATCCAAGTTATTCTATAGATCTAATGGGCTTATTAAATTTTTATGGTGTTAGCCCAAAATTATTAACCCGGGATTTGGGGCGTTATAGAAACTTAACCATGTGAGCAGCCTTGGTCTGCAATGAGTTCTCCAAGAGGTCTTTAAGTTTAACAAGAGCTAACGACCATCGTGAAAGGATATCTAAGTTGTTGCTGCTGAAAAAGACGTCTCAAGTTAGAATAATCAAATTATTCCCCATTCTCTATCGTCTACGGTGTCTCAAGATGGTGCTTGAGATTCATTGAGTTTATCGTTTGAATGAAATGATGATACGCTCATTGATCTTCCAGATCTATTGGTAGTTATGAATAATCAAATTTATGAGTTATGGGGCGTTGAAATGAATGGGTTTGAGTATGAAGAGTTTCACCTTTGGAAATATTGCTAAGTGGTGTTATAATATTTTTTATATTTTTATTATTGTAACTAAAAATTTAGATTTTGCTTGCATGGTAGAAACAAAAATTAGTTTTAAATATTTCAGATGATTTCCAAAAGTTGGAAATCATTTTAGCAAAGGCTCTAAAAAGAAGAAGAAAGGGCTAACGGGAGGTAACATGTCACATCAGATAAAATTAACAAGAGATAACATCAAAGATCTTACTGAAAATGAACTAAAAGTTTGATGATTGTATTGCAAGTTTTAAAAGTTATGTGACCAAAATGAAAGCGTCGTAAAGGTTCGGGGACTATTTATTTACTTTACCCTTATTATTATTAAATTTATAATTTTAAA